GGGCCCCGGATATCGACTCCGAGAGGTCGTACATGTGCTCCTAAATGGTTTCATTCAGAGAGAGAAGGCTAGGTGAGTTTCTATACCTGTTTCCCTGGGCGCCACACGGAAGAGTGCGGGCGGACAAAGGGCGGATGAGGTGAGCAGGGCTGCTGCTGTCCTGAAGAGACGGGCGAGGATCACGTAATATACGGGCTTACCCGGCTGCACACGATGTGGAGTGATAGCGCAGAGGTGACAGTGGGTGTTACTCTCCTTTGGGTTTCCTGTCTCCGCGTTTAGCCACTGCAGCTCTCCAGGAAGCAACCGACGACGACGTGTTCATCGTCAATCTAAATTTTGCATAAAATCCGTGATAAGGCGCAGTTCATTGGAGATCATTTCGGCGTTCTAAAATTCAAACAGACCGAAAATGCCGCGGCTGTACACATTTCTTCATTAACAAAAAAGTTTTCAGTGGGCGGAAGCGAGAGTGCTGGAACGCTCGTATGCCCGGATGTGCCGTGTCCTAAAAAAATTTACTTATTGGCAGCTACTAGCAGGACTTACCGATCATTTGCCAACGTCAACGGCCGATTCCAGAGGCGCGTCGTGATATGCGGGGAGAGTGTGTCTTCTCAGCGGCTCCGGGCAACTGTGAGGACGGAAGAGTTCAAAATGGAGGGCATGTCGCGATCGGGTTGCGGCATTCCGCGTGTTGCAACCTAAAGCTCAGGTTTGCGAATGCAAAGATGTTCACCTGAAGCACCCGTCAAAACTTGATCAAGCGTAATATCAGTTTTAGCGGGCTCAGGAGCACGAGCGGGTCGGCCTCTTCTGCTCGGCGTTTGTTTCATAAGGCCGCAAAGAAGGCATCCTTCGAGGCAGAAGGCGTGGCCGTCTGGGATGCTTTGGCGGGCAACGGCACTTCCAAAATGGCTGCCTCGCACCCGATTCCATGCAGAGGGCCGGCTTATTTGGCGTGCTGGACAAACATCCCGATTTTGGAGGGCTAAGGTGTCGTCGATAAAAGCCAACAAGTTTACCAAGTTTAACAGATAAAAACAGTTTATCAAGCCAGGGATTGCTTTGAATTACGTGGTGGGGCGCAGATCCTGCGGGACCCGCAGGGAGCCCAGCCTCGCGAACAGTTGTGAAGCTGTTTTGCCTGTGGCCCTAATTTCAAAAGATACGTAAAGGGTCGTTAAATACCTTTGTCAGGAACAGGAATGGAGCAAATGGTAGACCTCTTTGGTCACTGTATGATGTTGGTCGAGGCGACGATGCCTTGTTTCTCAATGCGTCTTAAACACCGATAATGATGAATCTCCGACGGCTTACATGTGACATGTCCTTCACATCTCTGAGGCGGCGCTTGGTGACAACCTCGATCAGCTTTCGCGCTTCCTGAAGAAACGAGCTAGGGCACCGCGGCGCCCGAGGGAAGCGGTAGTCCGCGGTAATGAGCTAAAGCAGCGAAAATTGATTAAAACAGGGTTTCATTGTAGAACATTGTCGCGAATAAAGGCAGTTTGGACAGCATTTGCAAACCTCCGGCCCTTGCAAGCCAAACTCTGCTTCATATATAAAAAAATAGTGTCTGTGCGTGGTGTGTCTGTGTGTGCCACTTTGCATCCACTTCCGTTTGGCTGTCCGGAGGATATCTCGCTAGGGGATGAATTTTAAAGTACGTATGATCATTAGGTGCGCATTCGTTCTGGGGATGACTGCACAATATCGAAAATGTTACAAAATCGGCGGTTTTCAACATTAAATTTAGGTTTTTGTGAAAACCTCTTTGTTAGAACAAATTAGCATAGACCTGGAAGGAGGGATTTGACCATATAAAGGGGCAGAAGAAAGTGTTTTTCAGTTTTTATATCAGGAATGCAAAGTATATTATAAAATACAGAAAAAAGACACACAAATTAAGGTCTGCCACAGAGATTTATAAGGGGGTTAAACATATATAATACACTATCACTTCACAGTACACTGAGAGAAGTCATCCATTACAACGCAGACACTTCTTTCTCACCATCGGCTAAAAAAGCTTTTACGCAAATTGGTGCCTTCTAGTACCTTCAAAGAAGACGAATTTCGTAGGGATTACAGCTGGTATTTGGCATGAATAGCCCAGTGGAAGAGACGTGCGGGCGTGGCGACGAAGCTGCTCGAGCTTCAAGTAGATGTGGGCAGTTAAGTAACTGAAAAGAATAATGCACCGAAGAAACAAAAATACCTTCGGAAGCAAGCCGACACGTTTCGAATCGAATGCATCGAAGTTTGCATCTGCTCGATCCGTGAGCGTCACCGCAGTTCCGCCTTCGAATTGCACGAACAGTGAAAGAGTTGAGAGCTATAATAATATTATATTTTTGGATAGACACTTACGTAGTTCAACACGATCCTCGGGCCGTCCATGCGATCGAATCGCTCCAGAATAGGCCGGAACTTGATACAGTGCGTGAAGAACATACAGGCGCTGGCCATACCATTCTCGTGGGAGTGCTCAACACACCACAACGCGTACCTAAGCCCGGTGTCTTTTTACATAAAAAACAACTTACTGACCAATTTGTCGAGCGTGCTTTCCGGGCAATGAGAAAGGCAAGTTTCCATGACGTCTTCGGTGTAAGCGATATAGTAAAGGCAGGTAGAGACTGCGACGGCTGCGAGGCTTCCGCAAGGCACCTTCAGCAGGGCCTCGACACCTCCTTTTTGCACAAAAACTGTCGCGAAACGACGGTGGACGAGCAGGGAAGAAATGTACTAAAATCAAGATCAGACTAGTAAAATTTACAAACTCTAATGGCATCCAGCGTCAACCGGACATCCTTCGTCTTCCGCAGATCTGTATAATCCATAAGAAGCGGTAGTGCATTGCCTTCAAAGACTCTGACGAGGAGCTAAAAACTTTAGTGTTCGTTTCCGGAAAAAGTTACATCTTGGTATTCCCCGGTTTGGGTGAGGTATTGAAGGATGAGACGTTGATGCATGGCTGTCGTCAATGGGTACACCTAAAAAGTGATGTTTTGATTTTTTAACGAAAGTTTGATTAATTTCCTACGTCTTGAAACCGTACTTGATGTTTTCCCAAAAGCAGTGGCATCTGATTACACCAGTTTGACGTGCTCTGCGCACTATCTTCGTTGAAGTCAAACGACTCGGTCGTGAGATCCTGAAGAATTTTAATTTTTAACTTTGAAATAAAATAACCTCAATCTTTCGACGTTTCCTTGGCGGGCTCAGAATGGTCGAAGGTTGTGTGGCGATTGGATGAGAATTCTTGACACGAACAGGGCAGCTGGAAAATAATTCTAGAAAGGAAACAAACATACATACCCATGTAGACCGAGATCGCTTCTCGTAGAACTAGGCTCCGCCGCGTCCGTATGGTTTCCGGCAATGTCAATATTGGCAAATGGTCCATCATCACCATTTGGGGCAGAACCATTGACGCCGGCTGAAGTAGACGGGGCTTCATGATGCTCCGGCTTTTCCGGATGCATTTCGGCCTAAAAATTGTCAATTCAGAATTAGATCGGATCAAAAACAACCTTTAACTCGGCAAGCGTCTTCAAGGCGAGTGGAATTAGCCGTAAATTCTGGTCCTGATACTTTTCAGCCATCTCTTGCGACTCCAATGCGCAAGCCAAAAGCCCGAACGAATATGCCCGCAGCTCTTCGGATTCGCTGTTTTCGACATTGGCGAAGAGTTGATAAACAACATTGTCATGCTCCTGGAATTAGCCCTATAACTTTCCGTTACAATGCCGTTACCGTGAAAATTGCTCGACTATCCACACCGGGAACGCAGCTCAACAGCAAACGAGCGGCCGTCACATTCAGCTTTATGTTGTCGCGAGCAACGATATAGGAGATCGTAATCTACAAGCACATTTGATAAAAAACTGTCGGACTCACGGCGTGCATAAAGTCAGCATTGCGAAAAAGCATGTTGAGCGCTTTGCCATAGCTGGCGTCAGGATGAGTTCGAACTGGGTGCCGATCGTCTAGCGGATCCGGGTCCAGACTGAGAAATTCGTTCAGTGAATTCTCCAACACGACCGCCATCCTGAACGGAATTTTTTTCAAGAGCTCTTTTGCACTACTTTTCAAGGAGATCCACTGCGTCGAAACCAGGTTGGTCGTGCTGCTGGTTCCAAACGGTGAGAAGGGCTTGTAGCTGAGCCGGATCATTGGATGCTAAAGGAAACTACTTAGACTTATATTGGTAATCTACCTAGTTTATTAACAAATCCTGATGATGCGCTACTTCGAAGTTTCGGTGGGTTCAGGGGCGGTTCCGACCCCAGCACGAAGCTTTCGGGGAACTCCATTGCTGAAAAAAAAACTGTATTTTCTGTTTATTGCACCGGAAAATGGTATTTACGTAAATTGAAGACGGCAATAGGATGAGACCGTTTTAGGTAGAAAAGTCAAGACGAACTGGCCCACTAAATAGACGTGCAGAGGGGTTGGGTGTTGGGTCACGTAACCGATCCCGAATAGGCACGCGCTGTAAAAAAAGAACAAAGAAGCAATCCACGTGATATCGAGGGGGGAACCTGATGAAATTTGTGAGAAAAAAAAGATAAATAAACGGGAATCGAAGATGTCAGAAAAAGATGCTATAAATCGCGGTGTCGGCTTACAATTTTGAGAAACAAAGAATTGAATCCGAAGCGAAATGTGGGACAATTATAACAAACTATTTATTATTAGAGTTCTTCTCAAATTTCGCATAAAATTAATTTAAAATCGACGAAAAGTAAGAGAAAAACGAAAATCGTAAAAGCCAAAAAATCACCGGGAAGGCGTACGTTTTACATCTATGAACGGTTGAAAGTCATCATGTTCTGCGTAAGGAAAACAAAACCAAAATTTTTGAAAGTTCGTTTTGGAATTTATATTTTTCATACAGAGATTTATTTCTTCTACTACTTTATACTTTTTTCTACTCGATCTGAAAATAGTATCAAAAAAATTTATTGCCTTTAACATTGATTTTCCAGGTTATGGACGTCAAGAAAAAGCCCAAATCTGACCAGCTGAGATGGGTGGTGATCTACCCGGCCTACATTTCCAAGAAGACGCTCGTGGAGGGCCGGAGGATCCCTCTTGCCGAAGCCGTCGACGCGCCCAATGTACCCGAAATCGTCGACGTCCTGAATTCAATCCCGCTGCCAAATCTGGTGGAAACAAAGATGTACCCGAGGGATCAACTTCGAAGCACCTTATGCCAGGTGAGCGATTGATTAGTCTCTCTTCTATGTTCTGCGTTATGCTGCTCAGTAAATCTGCTAATACGAGTTTTTAGGGTAGAGTGCGCGTGCAGCTATTCAGTGAAGATGGGACTCCGCTCGTTCCCGAAATTACGACCCGACAAGCGCTCTACAAACACGTGGCAAAGCTGATTCCGATGCTCAAGACCAGACAGCAAAAGCCGGTCGTCGCCGCGCCTCAAGCCACTGTCGCAGCGGGTGGGAAGAAAAATAAAAAGAAGCGCTAACCGATCAATTGTATCATTTTTTCGCATGTTTTAACCAATGTATTGTTTCTCACGCGTATTCTCTGTTGGACGACTTGATAAATTTCTTTGAAATGATACGGTCGTCTTGGATAGGCTACGGCGACAGAAAATTAGGGCAATTTTGGGTGGTGTGGTCCCCTGGTCCTTCTCGAACTACCTAACATCGCTCTCGCTACAATGCCGTCGAACACTTTGACCCGATGCTTCTTTGATTTGACAGCTGATGGCGCGAATCTCGGGAGATTGGTTTTTGAGGTAATTGAATGCCAAAGTCGGTTTTTATCTTTCAGCTGGACACCGAATTATGTCCAAAAACCTGCGAGAACTTTGCGTCTCTTTGTCGTGGAACACAGGGTTTCGGCTATGAAGGCAGTATCTTCTACCGTGTCGTCCCCGGATTCTGTGCCTGCGTATGTTTTTTGTTTACAAAAAAAATAAAAAAACACACATCCTTTTCTGTCAACGCTTTTAGAGCGGCGATTTCGAGACACAAAACAAGGACAGGAAGGGTGGGCGCTCCATTTATGGAAAATGGTTCGATGATGAGAATTTCGACAAGTCGGTAAGGAAGCAATATTTGCATCCCCGTTCCCATTGAAAAGTGTATAACAACAACAGTTTAAAGAATTAAAAGTATTACATTTTGAGCACGACAAACGCGGTGTCCTTCTCAATGGACAATTTCGGGTGGCCCAACACCAATTCTTCACGTTTCTTCGTGACATTTGACGAATGTAGATGGTGGGTGTCAATTTGGAGGATGATAAGCCTTTGAGTTATTTAGGATGGATGGTTACCACGTGGCATTTGGGGAGCTGGTCTCTGGGTGGGACACACTGGATGCTGTCGAGAATCTGGGTAAGGCTTTTCTGGGTTTCTACCGCACTTTACAGGCGTCATTGGGGGGCTACGGCCGCCAGAAGGGGCGAACGACCAAGGAGATTGTGATCTCAAAGTGTGGAACTCTCTGAAATAAAGCCATAAATTTAATTTTTATGCGCATCAAAAAAAAATTGCAGCGGGTTTTATGCCGCCCCTTTGTTTAGCCCTTTCCTTTCATGGCTGCGTGATGAATGAGGGAAATCTGCCCATGCAGCGGCTACCTTGACTTCAAAAAAAATGAGCCTCCAGGGGCCCGCCGGCGTTCGCGGAATCCGTTACCGGGTTCAGATTTTGGCCGCCGCCTAGTTTTTTGTTGACCGGCCACCAGTTTGTATCCCGGGTGCTCGAGTTGACGAGGGCTTCGCAGGCGGTGAGGTGCTTGAAAGTAAATTATGGGCGACGTCTGCCGGAGCTCTACTTGCCACCTCTGGCCAAATCGAATTCGCTTCGCTTGCCTGATTTTGGGCCCTTGACTCAAAAAAGCGGTTGGGATGTTTGAAAATTTATAATTTTTTATGCAGACGATGGGTTCTTGATTGTGGAGCCATTTTGAAGCACGTAAAGAGGGTTTTAACGCTTATCGTATTCTAATGACGCCAATTGCTTTATTTGGACATTTTGTAAGGTTCTGGAACGTTAGCGGGAGGGGGAGGCATTTTGGCCCATATCTAGCGACTTTTTTTGATGTTTCACGATGCTTTGAGTATTTTTTTAAATATTAAACAATCATACAAAACAATGGAAAATTTGGAATTTACTATTTTTATAGATTTTTGTACGAAACAAAAACAATCTCTTCGAAAATCTTGATGATTTTCTCATTTTTATATTTAAAAAGGTTTAAAGTTTAGCGATATGTTATTGATGAGCCATAAAAATGGTGTGTATTTCAGTTTTGCGATGTGGCTTTGCGCTAGCCCCCCACCGCTAACAATCCAGAACAATTTTATAGGCACTTCAGGAACACCCTATCATTTTGTATGTTTGCCCCTCCGAAAACTGTTGTCACATTCCCTTGACCAAACACCCCAGCAACACGGTCTAGTCAATTACAAAGGGCCAATGACCAGCAGAATGGCCCAGGCAGGGCCCGTTCTGCACCCCCCGGATCGCCCATAAATCGACACGCCGATCTCGATCCACCGGGTGGGTCAAGCCGCCCAATCAACTAGTCACAGATTAATTGAGCTCGAGCTCGAGAGGAGGCCCGGGGTCAGCTGCCCGAATTCCATTCGTGCCGGGGCATCAAAATCCCGGGCCGGACAGGGCCGAAATGACCTCATCGCATTCCGGGACCCGTGGGGCCCTGTTAGAGCGGGTTGTTTGGGGCGGAGTTGCCCGGGGGCAAATTCCTGGCGTGCCAGCCATGAGTTGCCAAAACATCGTTTCCTCCCAAGGGGAGGTATAAAACTTTTGCCGGATGTCCTGGAGGTTCATTTCACGGCGTCTTAGGCCTTACTTGGAGCGCGCACGAGGGGAATGGAGGGACTGGGCTAGGCCACGCCCCTTTTTGGCCCCGAAAATGTATTAGAAAAGCTTTCTAAAGGCTATAACTTTTTTTCGAGAAAGAATTACAAATGTTCCACCTGGCGATCGATAGAGATGACTCTAGGGAACATTTTGGTCAAAGAATTTGGGTGATCGCCGGGAAAAATAAGGACTTGAAACGTTTTAAAGCAAAAATCAAGATTTTTTCTGGTTACGGCCTCGGGACCGTCCCATCTGCCCAATTTTCTACCTGGACTTCGCTAAAGATTTATTGACGGTGCATTGCGGAAACGTTTTGCATAAAAAGCAAAACGGTGTCGCGTCTTTTGGCGAGGGGAGGAATCGAACCAGCACCCCGCGCCTGCCGCCGCCTTAGACCACTAGGCCATGCCCGTCCCCACCCCCCGTGCGCGCTCTAAGACACCGTGATTTGCAGCCGGTGGGCGAGGTGGCTCGACTTCCGGATTCCTTTCAAAGTGGTTTTGAGGGGACTCGTAAACTTCTTGGGATGTACTTAAGGCGGCGTTCCGGTACTCTGGCAGTGTTCCTACCTTATTTACCGGCTTCTCCTTCCTATTTTAGCGTGCTGGTGCGTTAACGGGGGGGGACCCGACCTTCCTTTATCCTCGTCCATATCTTGCAAGATATAAGCCATTTTGATAGGATATTGAGCCCTTTTTATGTAAAACGTTACTAAAAATTATTACATTTACTAAAAAGATCCTATAAATCATTAAAATTAACAAAACGGTACTAAAAAGTTATTACAGTTTTCGAAAATTTCGACTTGTCAGTAAAAACGGGTCAAAATTTCGGCATAATTTTTAAAAAATGCTTTTAGAAATCGAACACTAATAAAACACTAGAATAAACTTTTCGCCGACTTGATCATGAGATCTTTCGGTAACTCGCAGAAGATTAACACATTTTTCACCCTCCAAAAATAGCTCCTTCAGGTCTTCGTTTTCCTATCAGATGCTCCCACTCCCCCGGACACCAACCCCCAAACAAGCCCTCCATTATCCTGAGGCCCCAACCAAGGCGAGAAGCTTGTTGTGATGGTTGCGCTTTCTCGGCTTCCTTGCTTGCTTTTTGCCACGCGTCTCCCCAGGGGCCATCAGTTTTCGATGCGCGCGCCCCGAACTTTGGGCCACCTTCCTGTGCTGGGGTCTTTGGAATTTAGGGGTCCATTGATCCCGCCCCTAGGGTTCCTTTACCGGGCCGCGTTTGCTGGGCAACTTTGGCTCTGCGGAATGGCCCGAATCAGGGTCCATTTGTTACTTTTTGTTCCCCTGCGCCTTTGCCTCCTTGGGGCCCCCCACTGGCCGCAAGTGCCCGCCATAATTCTTGTGGCCGGGTCGTTAGGAGGCTCGCCAGCCAAGGGCCTGCAAAAAACCACCCCAACAAGTTTCGTTTTTCGGCATGCACTCGAGTCTTGGCTTTTCGAGGAACACTTTGCGAACTGCTCGAATTTTTGTGGTCATTCTCCTTCTATCTATCTTTTCTGGTGACCAGAACCAACTTCAAATTTTCAGAAATGCGGGCCCTATCCTTGTTATTATTGATGTGCCACATCAGCTATGGCTTTGTTCGATCAGCGCAACGAATTCGGGAGCACGAGGAGCTGAGCGTGGACATCCCGAGCGGCGGAGAGTTGAGGTATCATATTTTGCTATTCATAAAATGAATACCGTTTCGAAAATAGCAGGCGTCAAGAACATTTTCTCAAAAAATAGCCTAATGCCGCTTTCAACATTTAGAGCATCAGCCTTTCATTTTCAGGTTCTACTATCGAGTCCGTGACCCCATGGCCCCACTATTTATGGTGATCAGCCCTTGTGGCGCCCCCGTCCACTATCAGATATACAATATGAGAGCAGGTACCGCTATTTTCCAAAATAAACAGGCAGTTTTAGGCGTCATCCCGGCGTACGGCGATCTGTCGACGAACCCCTCGTTGAGCCTGATCTCCGGGCAACAGCGCTCCTCTCGCATGAACTTCTACACGCGCAGTATCTTAGCTGGTACTTAAATGAGTAGAAATTCAGCCGAAATTCTTCTAGATCGTCTCCTGATCACGCTGAGCGCGCCAAGCGCCGCCACAGCCCGAATTTTTATCGCCACTTCGCAGCGAGCGCTCGATGAGCAGGTAACTAGCGTTTTTGAAGCTAAAACCAAACGCGATCTTTTTAGTATCCAGCCCTGCCGGAGGACAAACGCCTCGGCCACGCCGTGGCGCTACAAAAAGACACTGCCAGCGCGCTGATCTCATGGAAGGCGTCGGGAAAAGTTCGGCGGGCTCCGGTGGGGAAGTACCGTTTCTGCGCGGTGGTGTCGAGGAACGAGAACGAGTACGCTGTCTGTGATCATCTGCACGAGGGACTTGAGGTTGGTGGTCAAATCACGGCGCATGGGAATTGGAAAATGAAACAAGAAAATATGAGAAGGAATCGCCGTTTTTCAGAGCATTCATTGCGTGGAGAGCTCGAAGAACCAGGTGAAAATCGACAAGTTGAGGTGAGTGAAAAAGACACCTTACTAGATAGAAAAACCCATTGAAAAAGCTATTTAAAATAGCAGTAAAAAATTTTACCGATCGATTCAGGCCCGGCCATCAGTACTACGTGAGCCTTTTCGTTCGCGATTCAACCACCGGGGCCGCGTCGCCATATTCAAGCCTGCAGCTGACCATCCCAGCCTCATCCGTCGAAAAAACTACCGGGTCTTTGGAGCGCGCCAACGCTGAGGTAAGCTTTAAAAGGCAGAAAATGTTATTTTTTAAAATTTTTGCAGAATGTCATCCTGCACGACGGGCAGCTCGTCAACGGGGAGGTGCCGGCGGGTCGGGGCTCGATTCTCGGCTATGATATGAGCGTTTCGGAGGAGCGAGCCGCGAAAAGGGTATGTACTTTTAGCATCACGCGATCATACTGATCTTTTGCAATCATTATCTTGGCGTTTCGACCATTCTGACCGCCGACAAATAGGCCCTCCCGGCCGAGGCAGGCGCGACAAATCGGTGCCCACATTTTGACGTACTTCCCAGTGCAGCCCCGCCGAAAATATCCTGCGGCTATTTCTGGGGTGCCAATGGCCGGCAACTGTCCATGCCGGTGACGCAAACGAATTCCTGGGCCAGGCCGGCGGGGCAGGGGCTACTTGTTTTTTTGGGGGGCAGCTGACGGGTAGAGGAATGCAGGGCGGAAGCTGCACAACGTTCTGCCCAGGCCGAGATGGGTTGCTTGAGCCAGATATTGTTTGGTAGTTGGTGGGTCATAGGGGGATTGTGAAAGTCATGGAACTGTTTTCGCAAAATCGAGGAATTTACAACAAACTATTTACAAAAACATTGAAATTTTGTTTAAACTAAAAGATTTTCGTCGAAAATCAGCTAGTTTTGATCGAGAATTGATGTTTCAGTATTTTTTCTAATAGCTTTTGAAATTTACATTACAAAAAGCGGGCCCTTAGGAAAAAGTATGACCAAAACCGACCTGACCAAAAAACATCGACAACCCGGAAAGACCCCCGCACCGAGTAACCCTAGCCACCCTCGACTTGCAAAACGATGACGCCACCCAGTCCGAAAAGCCCAAAAATTACGCCGGACGCGCTCCAGAAACTGTTCGGGCAACCGATCCGATTTCAGGTGCTGCTTGTCGTGCACTCGTGCAGCGGCTTCATCCGCGTCAACATCTACCGGAATGGGCGGCTGCTGAAGAAGAGCGAGGCGTTCTCCGGTTTCCGCAGGTGTGTTTTCCGGAAACTTCGAAAAGTTAGGAAGACTAAAACTGAACTGGCAAAACGTCTGGACTTCCTTTGACTTGTATACCCCCAATTCCAGATTCCTGGTGCTGAACGTGAGCGGTGGAAAGCTGCGCTTCGAGGTGGTCAACGAGGAGGGCACCGTGAAAAGTGTCCGTCTCTGGGCCTCCAGCCGCCCGGCCCAATCGCCCTATCCGCTTCTCCCTGACGACACCTCGTAAGGAGTAGGGCCTCGGATTTTTATGCAATTTTTAGGGTGCGCGTGACGCGTCGTGCCTGCTCGTCCGCAACGCTGCAATGGGTGCGGGCACCGGATGAGGCGGTGGAATACTGCTTGTATCGCCGACTCGAATCCGCCAAGTTCTTGGAGCATCTCGTTAGTAAGGTGAGTATTTTGAGTAATACAATATATAAATCCTAAACTATAATAAAAGCCGTGTTTCCACACTGTTTTATGCTATTATAAACGCAAAACCTTACAAATTTTTCTAAAAAATTTAAAAATTTGATTTTTGGGAATTTCTTTAAATTGAATTTAAAATAATTTTAAATTAGCAAATTAACTCAAAAACATCCACCTTTTAGGCCGACGACCTGTGCTCGGGCGGGCTCAGCTCCGAGCTGGTCGGGTGCTACTCGCCGCGCGGCCCGCGCAAAAGCCGCCACATCCGCCTCGGCGACTCGAGCGAGGACGAGCTGACCGGCCTCATCGAGACCCGCGTTGATCACTTGACGCCCAACAACACGTACAGGTACGGTGGAGAAGGGCACCCCCGCTAACTCACCAGCACCAGAACTATCTATATTTTTTATATTGATTGTATTTTTCATTTAAAATATCGTTTAAGAACACGCCCAATTTAAGATTCGACCTGCTGGCCCGGCCGCTGAATCGCGACAACTCGCAATTCCTGCCCTACCGCACGGTGTGGGTCCGGACGGCCAAGACGTGCTAGAGGGTGCTGTACTGCTAGGGGCCGCTGTGCTGCTACAGCGCCCCGCTTCGCGGGTCTCCTCGACGGGTCTTGACGTCTCTGTGTCTCTCCATCTTCCCTGATCTCTCTTCCCACTCTCACCATTCCGTTCTTGCATTTGACTGTGTTTTCTACGGTTTAAGCGTATTATTGAAAGGGACTGTTGACTTTTGAGGGGGAAACATTGGATTTTTTGGTCAGTTACGCTATGAAAAGGCGCGTGAGGCGTGAATTGTAGTGACGCGTTTGCGAAAATTAGTACGAGATGCTATTCCGCACACTATTACACCCTGCGCGGGTTGCATTCGGGATTGGAGCTCTTTTTGGGGCACGATAAAATTCTATGAAAAAATATAATAACACGCGTTACGCGATCAAATTCAAGGCTAGAAATTCTTTTTCCAAAGTTGCCAGTCCCTTGAAACCTGTTGATTATACAAAATCTCATTTTCTACTCTTTTTAATCCCAATTCCGCGTCGGGTTGTATTTTATGTGTATTTAATAAAGTATTATTGAAAGCTAAGCACGAAATACACGCGAAAACTCGTTTCACTTTATTCGGGGCGGAGAACAGGCACTTTTTGAAGGCTGAAAAAAGGAAGGGGGAGCGAAGAATCTGCGGTATCCATTATTATGCAAATTTTGGGGGCTGGTGAGGTCAATGTAATGGGGGGAGAAGGAGGGAGCGGGAAGGAAGGCTAAAGCTGTCTGGGTGAGATTCATGCTTTTTGGGAGGCGAGAGAGCGAGAGAGAGATAGAGAGAGAGCGAGAGAGAGAGAGAGAACGCGAGAGAAAAGCGAGAAACAATCAGTCAGAGCGAGAGTAAGTGAGATAGAGAGAGTGAGAGAGCGAAAACGAGAGAAAGCGAGAGAGAGAGCCAGAAAGCGAGAGAGAAAGCGGAAAAGCGATAGATAACTAAAACAAAAATTTTTCCGTGGTTTTCGAATCACTTGCACGTGTGGACGGTGACGTCGTCGATGCACTCTTTGCATTTCACCTGCAAAATTCGACTTTTAGAGCAAAATGACTTTATTGTAAACTAGGATTTTCAAATCCAACAATACTAACCTCTGGATTTAGCTAAATAAAATTCAAAACGCAATTAAAACGCTGTTTTGCCTGATTTTCCACACACCTGACAACACCAGACGAATTTACACTGGCATTGCGTCTTCTTGCGCTCGCTGCGGGTGTTGTAGCTGAAAAATTCTGATCTTCAAGGTGACTCGGGCTTCCGTACCCTCTCCCACAGCACAGCAGATCGCAGTCGTCAGCGTTGTGGGAGCGATGGACACATTCTCGGCCGAGAGTGCCGAGGATACCTGGAAGTATGAAATTCGACGAGAGGCGAGCTAGCAAAGGCCATTGCGGAGGCTAGCAAAGGCCATTGCGGAGGCTAGCAAAGACCATTGAGGAAAGCTAGCAAAGACCATTGAGGAGAGCTAGCAGAGACCATTGAGGAGAGCTAACAGAGACTATTGAGGAGAGCTAGCAGAGACTATTGAGGAGAGCTAGCAGAGACCATTGAGGAGAGCTAACAGAGACTATTGAGGAGAGCTAGCAGAGACTATTGAGGAGAGCTAGCAGAGACCATTGAGGAGAGCTAACAGAGACTATTGAGGAGAGCTAGCAGAGACTATTGAGGAGAGCTAGCAAAGACCATTGAGGAGAGCTAGCAAACACCATTGGGGAGAGCTAGCATGCTTCTTTCAGGCCAGTTTCCAGCATTAATAAACACCCACCGAGCGTATCATTCCGTTCACAGTATGAGGGCGATTTCTGAAGAAAAGCCAGCTCGTTGCCCCGAATCGGCATCTGCTAGAATTTTTTCCGCATTATAACAAACGACTCACCGCTCGCTCGCCCCGTTCCTTTCTTCTGAGACGCTTCTTCACGCGTTTTGCCACCTAAATCAGGAGTTTAAAGGGACTGGATAGGATGAAATCCAACGGGTTTTTCCGGGATATGGATTCCCTGCCAATTTTGCCTCAGCGACTCTCAACACACATAGCTCTGCTTACGTTACATGCTACATCAACTTGAAGGCGACCAAGCGGCATGCGCGTTGCGGGTCGCGGATTCGGACAAAACCACAGGGAATCCATAGTTCCTCATTGCCCGTCCCCGGAAATCAAAACCGTGCTAGTACCAAAGTAACCAGTCGGAACCGCGATAATCCGAAGTTGGGAATTTAAGCCGAAATTTCTGAAAGTGTCCTGAAAAAGCACTGTAGCTTTTTAAACCAGACTATTTGGAAAAATTTTTCAGCGAATAGTTCTGCAAAAGATAGGGCAGGACCATACGGAAGGTACAACTTGGCCTTAACGGACTAGGAAGCGAAAATACAGGTGTGCCGGATCGAACTAACCGATCAAAAACCAAGGGTTAGGGTCGAAGAATATACCAAAATGATTTCTTTGCGAAAAAACGTAAAATATCTGAGAAAGACTAGATGTTTTCGGGGCGAAATAACATTTTTCGTGAGGACCTTTTAAATGTCGTAATGGTCATGACGGTACCCAATTCATGCCCCGATGAATTAAAATAACTACAGCAGCTAAGATCATTAAAATTTGCTGATCCCAGAAATTAGGTGAGATTTTGGAAATTAACGATTTTTCACCTCTAAACCCAGCTAAAACGCGGTCGCATTGCGGACACATCTGACTATTTGCCAGGATATCAGACTTGAAAACCCCTTGAGGTGCTTTCGTTGTTAGGTGCGTCGCGTACAGTATTGTTTGCGGCGGTGGGGGCGAGTGGTGAATGTGGTGGTGGTAGTGGTGGTGGAGGTGCTGAGGGTTCATCGGCCACCTGGACGGCAAAGTGCTGGTAGCGCTTCTTCAGCATCTCCGCCACCTCGCCGAATTTCGGCATCGACAGCCAGCACGTCTTGAATTCACAGCTGCCGGAAACGCCGTGGCACCGGCAAGTGCGCTTGATGTTTTGCGCGATTTGCTGGAAATTGCGGGATAAAGGCCAAGGCGTAATTGGTAATCTACCTCTCGGCCCACAAAGAAGTTGTGTTTGTGCACGAGACGGCGAACGTCTTGGTCAAGGTTCTCGAATTGTTGTGTTTCGAATTTGTCGAGGAATCTGGAAAAGGACGAAATTTAGGCGAGCTAGCAGAGACCATTGGGGAGAGCTAGCAGAGACCATTGGGGAGAGCTAGCAGAGACCATTAAGGAGAGCTAGCAGAGACCATTGAGGAGAGCTAGCAGAGACCATTGGGGAGAGCTAGCAGAGACCATTAAGGAGAGCTAGCAGAGACCATTGAGGAGAGCTAGCAGAGACCATTGGGGAGAGCTAGCAGAGACCATTGAGGAGAGCTAGCAGAGACCATTAAGGAGAGCTAGCAGAGCCCATTGAGGAGAGCTAGCAGAGACCATTGAGGAGAGCTAGCAGAGACCATTGAGGAGAGCTAGCAGGGACCATTGAGGAGAGCTAGCAGAAAGTTTGTTTCGAGTTTTTAAGATTTTTCGAAATAAAAACACGTTTTCGAAAACGATTGCGGAAATCAGACATCGAAAATTTGCAGCCACAACCAGAACAAGATGAAAAAGAAAACGCATTGTAAATTCTTACGAAATCCCTGTTTCCCGAAATTAAATCTAACTTTTGAAGAATAAACTTTCATATGAGCGATTTCAAAAATGTGCATGAAAAACCGCAGAGACATAGCAGTTAAGGTAACCAACCAAGATTCGTTAAGAAATCAACTCACTCCCTCGTAAATTTCACCCCGTACGGCACATTATCCGAGCATCCTCCCCACGAAAAAGTGTTCAGGGATCGTTGGTTCAGGCGATGGTGGCCGGCGGCCGGATGGCTTCTCGGTTCGTTGTGCACGTCCTAAATAAGGCTCCGTTTTCTCCTGTACCACGCTCACAATCGATTGAGGTTTATTCGTACCGTGTCGATGTATTTTTGGATGTCTGGCTGACTGTCGCATCCACATTGCGAGAGATTGCCCGTACTGCAGCCCTTCGTCACCTCGTAGACGATGCCGGCCGTCGCGATAGCGGTCAAAAAGGCACCCTCGCGGCTTGCTGGAAATGATCATTTACTACAGGTTTTTGAGCCAAGGATTTTGAGCCGGGAAGAGCTAGCAGAGATCATTGAGGAGAGCTGGCAGAGACCATTGAGGAGAGCTAGCAGAGATCATTGAGCAGAGCTGGCAGAGACCATTGAGGAGAGCTAGCAGAGACCACTGAGGAGAGCTAGCAGAGACCATTTAGGAGAGCTAGCAGAGACCATTAAGGACAATCGACGAACCTGATCTCAACGTCTTCCCCAAAATATCCCTGAATTCCCCATGCGGAGTCGTGATGACCTCATGGCGATCCGAGCAGTTCCACCTGAAGCAGCGAAGTTCAAACTTAAGCCAACAAGCTCAACCTCTCGTTCTTAAACTGATCCTGACAATGGTAGAGGGCTTCCCGGATGCCGCGTGCCACGTACTGGATGATGAGTGGGTTCTAAAAGGCACCAAAGATGTTAAAGCCAGGACTATGCTTAATCCTGAGTATAAGCCTAATCTATGCTAAGCCTAAGCCTCAGCCTGAACATAAGCCTCACCTCCGTACATAGCTGCTTTTGCACGGGGTTCAACCCGAGTAGCCGTTGGCAAAGTGCCGCCGAATGGCCGGACAAATCGACGGCACGCGTCGATGGGAGACTTTCTGGAGAGGAAAGCGCGGCTAGAGACCTGGAAATGTATAATAAAACATTTGATCGACGACTTGAAGACGTACAGCCAATTATACGGTATATCGGGCGGCTGGGCGAGCAGAAGGGGCGCGCCGAGCAGGGCCAGCAGCCACCACATGGCACACTTGGCTACTGCTTTCGGGGGCCCCGGAACGTGGAGCGTCGCGGAACGGGCCGTGGTTCACGATAGCGGCGGCTGAAACGGGTTTTAGAAGTTTGGGAATTGGTACTGCGTAGATATTGTAGTCTTGAAATTGAAAAAAACGGAAATCACAGAATGACGGATGGAAAAATCGGTTAAATTTATGTGCTTTGGAAAGAGTTTGTCCATATTTCGAGCGTAAAAAGAAGCGTTCGGAAGCGTATAGATGCGTAGGGTCAAGCCTTTCACGTCAAGCCGGTTTTTCACGCAAAGTTTGGCAGAAACGATCAACAAACCTTAGAAGAACCTCACATTTTGAAGAATTAGGCTTGTTGCTAGGCTCAGGCTTGGCTTAGGCTCCGCTTAGGCTTGGCCTAGGCTTGGGTTAGGCTTTAGCTTGGGCTAGGCTTAGGCTTGAGGTTGATTTAGGCTGGGGCTGGGTTCAGGCTTAGGTTGAGCTTAGGCTTAGGCTGGGGTGCAGCTTGTATTTAGCGCTTTGTCTTAAAAAAACTTAAAAATGCAAAACAGCAACAGGAAATGCATAAATTGCATTTTCGACATCAGCCGGAAATGGGAGAAAACTCGAAAAATAGCTGACGCGCCGTCTGAATCACGGCTATTATTGAGTTTATCGACAAAAGATACAGCTAACCCCCAAAAAGACACCAAAAAGGCAGCGTTCCATATCCGATTGACTACGCGTGCACATAAATTACGGGTAGCCCCTCACCTCCGTTGCCCGGCGAGCTGCGCAATAAATTAGAATCGGCTGCCGGAAACGGAAAAACTGTCGGGGATGGGGATTATTGATAGGGAAAGACTTTAAAAGACTAAAGCGATTGGGAATTGGCCAAAAACGCGAAGAATTTGACATTAAAGATACGTGGAAGGGATGGCTACGGATTCTGCATCGACCGGAACGAGCAAGCCCTGACCTTCGCCGCGTAATCGATTATCGTTAATTTAAAAGCCGATCAATCAAAAAAATCAGACCAATAGGAAAATCGGAAAGGCCTTCGAAAAATTGGTAGTATATCCATGGCTACCAAGTCTGGGGATGCTTTGCAGATCCCTTAAAAATGTTCGATTGGAACAAAATGGGCGAAATTAAACAAACAAAATCAGCAAAGAACTAGAAATCCGTTATGTAATGGAAAGACTTCTTAAAGTTTTTGGCCGGCATCAAAGGGACCTGCAAGTTATAGCTGCGGATTTTCGACGGATTTGACGCGACCCGAAAGACACAACGCGACCGCGGGATGTTACCTAACTAGGGTTGTTATACGAGTTGATTCGGCAGCGAGTTGATTCGAATAAGCCCCGATTTGCAACCGGCGAATGGAAATTTCAACGATTCAATTCGCCAGCGAGTTGATTCGAATCGCGATTTGATTCGCGGCTAATTTGATTCGTTGCTAATGAATCCGCAGCCAAACGAATCAATTCGCTGACGAGTCGATTCGTCAGACGAGTTGATTCGTTGGCGAATCGATTCGTTGCCCACGAATCAGAATCGAAACGAATCGATTCGTCAACGAGTTGATTCGTTTGCCGTTCTGACTCGTCGGAAGTTGTTATATATTAATGAAAAACGCTATGTAAATCAGAAATCACCCCGTGGTGGCTTTTGGGGTGTCTTTCGGGGCGCTGTCTGGGGTGCTTTTCGGCAGTATATGACTAGGCTTTCTTGACCAAATCAGAAGATGAACATGATCTTCGAGCAGTTCGAACAACTCGACGCCAAACCGCTCGCAACTCATTTGGGGGTCGTTTGGTAGCATTCCTTCGAGGTTGTTGAACACGGCCGATCATTTCGAGACGTTTTTTTCTAACCGTGCTAGCAGGCTGGGCAAAGCTGCTCGAGAGCTGTAACTCGTTGGGCAGATAGAACTTTTCGCGCTCTTTCGAATTGTGCCCTTCGCGATCCAGGATTCGCCGTGCAGGTCGAGATATGATGGTTTTAGTGCGGCGACAACTTCGACAGGTACGCCTTTCGGCACTAAAACGCTCCGTTCTCTGTCCCCCGACGGCTTTGGAGAACGGCAAGTACAGGCCTGGGAATTTGGCGGGCCGGCCCGGGCCAGGGCCGAGATTTTCCGGATTTTAGGCTGGCGGGCGGCCCGGGCCGGCCCGTCAGATATGGAGGGCCGGCCCGGGCCGGCCCGGGCCGGCCCGCCACCTTGCCAATAAGTTATATTGAGCTTAAATGGGGTAATTTAATTACATTATAGGTTTTCCTTATTGATATTCAACTTAAATCATCTGTTTAAACAGTTAAAAGTAAAAAAATCCGAGGTTTGGCTTAAATTTGATTTATCAGGAAAACGACCCGGGTTCGATCCCGGCCGAGGTCAATCTTTTGCTTTTTGCTTTTTTTGGCCGGAAATGTTCAGAAATGCTGGGAATATGCCTTGTTAGCCTTATTTAAGTGTATTAGTGTTCAAACTACACGTATGCGTCGAAGAAATTGAACTCCACTAAGTAAAACAGACTTTTTCTATTGAACTAAACTTTTTACTGGTTGTATGCTGTTTTATGAATAAATTCTCGTTACATACTATACCTAACTAGGGAGGTATCTGAACTCGGCATCGAACTTTGAAAAGTCAGATACACCATTCGACGCGCCTTGTCGAGGGGATTCCAAATATGTAATAAAATCAACCAGAGCCTATAACGATAAAAAGTTATGAGCATTTTAAATCGACAAAATGGTGAAAACAGTATCTTTGAGACCCTTTCTCATCCCGCGGAATAGAATTTAGCCTAAACTGATTGGTGCTCTTTGTTCAACAAAGAAAGCTCTTTCAAATGAGCTATATTACATACGGCTGCCAAAAACTTCCGCAAAAAAAGATTTTTGGAATGCAGTGTAAGGGTAGGGTATGCCCAGCTAGCCAAAGACTTTTCGAGAATTTGGCGTAAAGCGCAGGTAAGATAGCTCATTCGAAAGGGAATTTTCTGCTGATCAAGATGTACTGTTCTATTTTTGACAAAT